CAGAAGCTTATTAGAGTGAAGTTTCATTATAGTGAGATTCCTAAAACTTGGCCTTATATGGTAGCTTTTGTCACGCCCCGAGCCTACACCCTGGGCGGGACCGGCACCCGGACACCATTTCTGGCCCCAAGCGAACCCTTGGCCTGGCTTTCTTAACTCAGTGGAAACCTAACCCAACAGAATAACTCAATGCAATGCAATATTACAAAACAACTTAACTTATAAAATATGGCCATAAAGGCAACTCGAATCTCAAAATAGAATATTTACATATATATATAGATGAGAGACTCAAAACTAACTGACTGACTGTCTGTCTATGAAGCCTCTAAAATACTAAGATGGATGTTGGGACAGACCCCGCAACATCCTAATAAAACAAAAACTAAGAACACAAAACAATTGAGTCCTCCGGAATGCAAAGAGGCTCACCACTGACTCTGGAGTGCTCAGTTGGATCAACGACGTGCAGGATGCTGATCCGGGGTACCTGTATCTGCATCATGAGACGATGCAGGCCAACTGGCATCAGTACATGGAATGTACGAGTATGCGAGCTGGAAAACTAAGCAACATAGGCTAGAAGGAAATTTGGAAGTAATTGAAAAGTTTACCTTGCTCAACTCAACTCAACCTGACCGACTTCTTTCAATATAAGGCAATTTAAACCAAGTGCGATATAAAGAAAGACTGTTTAAAACATGCTATAAACTCTGTGTGTATACAAAGATACAATAAGCCTGAAATGTATATAGAAATACAATGAACTGATGTATATAAAAATACAATAATTTCTGTGTATGAAAATACAATAACTGTTGTGGGAGTTTCTCTAACCGACAACCATCACATAAGAGCTATAGTGATGATACAGCGATCGACCTCACGCTGCCAGAGCATCTTATACCCGGCCAAAGGTATAAGACCTGAACTGCCTAATGGATCCACTAGTCTAATCTGAAAAGGATTCATCTAAAAAGTATGATCCTTTTCTACCCATGGTGGCTAACATGGTTCTATGGGGGCTGTGGGTTCTTTGAACGCTCCCCCAATTCGGTGCTCGATACTACTCCCAAAAATGTACTGGCTCTTATGTTTTTAAAACATATTTATTCCTGCTGATATGAGATAATTACTCAAAAACTAGCCCGAAGGCTCTTTTGGAAATCTCAGTTTCCAACCTTGTTTAAATGTAAAGACATTTCTTTAAAACTTCTTTGGGAATACATAGTTCCCTAATAACTTTGAGAAATGAACTCAACTTTAAACCCTTGACTCTTTACTCTTTACTTGACTTGCAACTTGAGCCTTAGAATGAAGTTAAAACGTTCAATAAAGACTCTTGAAAAGCTTGGAGGACTTGCTTGAACTAACTTCTTAACCTCTAAGCTTGACTTCTAATTTCACTTGACTTCTAACTCGACTTGACTTGGAAACTAACTTCACTTGACTTGGAAACTAACTTCACTTGAATTGGAAACTAACTTCACTTGAATTGAAATTTGGATTCAAGGTGTTTGATCACATGTTACGGATGAGTTCTTGACTTTTAGAAGTACCTTGGAGTGTTGGAAACAACTAGGAAAAAGTGGGGAATGAAGGTAACGGGAAGGATTGGCGTCCTTGGCGCTCTAAGAGGCGCGGGGCGCCAGCCCTCAACTTCAAATGGGACTGCTGGGCACTCTGCACTCTGCCAGCCCTCAACTTCAAATGGGACTGCTGGGCACTCTGCACTCTGCCAGCCCTCAACTTCAAAGATTTCAGCCCCAATCACTTAGAAACATAAAACCCCTCAACATACAATAGATTCAACTCAAGAATACAACCGGAAACATATCCCTCATCAACAAGAACTTCAACAACACAACCAACAATTTCAACAACCAAATAAATCTTTTCTTGGAATTAAAAACGAGTTGGTGTGTGGGGGTATGAACCAACCAACACTAAGAATCATAAAATCCCTCAACATACAAGAGATTACAACTCAAATACACAACCCAATCATGTCCCACAACCAACAATAACTTCAACAACACAACCAACAACATCAACAACTAACAACTTCAACAACTTCAACAATTCCAATCTTTTCTCAAATCATAAAAAAATGAGCTTGGTGTGTGGGAGGAAAGGATCACCCAACACTAAGAACTCACATACCTTGATAGGGATCACCCCCGACGAAAATCCACGATGATCTTGAAGAATCTTTGCTTGATCTTCCCTTTCTCCTCTTCTTCTCTTCTTCTTCTCTTCTCCACTCTCAAGAACCCTAACTCTTTCTCTTTTAAAATGGGATAAAATGATCCAAAATCAGCCTAACACACAATATAACCTCAAAAGAAATGATTTGTGAAAAGACCAAAATGCCCTTAAATTTCCGGACGGACTCCCTGCCAACTGCCCAACTTTCAAAGGGCATAACTCGCTCATACGAACTCGGAATCGAGCAAACTCGGTGGCGTTGGAAAGATCGTCCCAAGGGCTTTCCAAAAATAACTGCAAATACTCCTGGATAATCCTAAAATAGGAGTTATGACTGTTCAAAGTTGGCCAAAAACTCACTGATTTCCACACTTGGCCAAATTTCCAGATTTTTGAACTTAGCCAAATTTTTCCAGATTCTGGACTGCCAAATTTCCAGATTTTAAATTTTTCCAAAAATGACTATTTCCAAATTTCAAGCTTCTTCAAAGCCACTTCAATTTGTCGGATGTTACAGCGTTGTTGGATGGCTGTAGGCCAAATTTTTTGTACAAACTAATGAAATGGTTACCACCACCAATTGGTTGGTGGAAATGTAACACAGATGGGGCTTCAAGAGGTAATCCAAGTCCTAGTACTGTAGCTTTTTGTGTAAGAAATGTTGATGGAGATCTAGTGGGGCCTAAGGGTTTGAAGATTGCTGATTCAACCAACTTGGTAGCTGAGGCTGTAGCTGTAAGAGAAGGCTTAAAATATTGCTGGGAGAATGAATTATTTAATGTCATTTATAGAATTTGATTCCTTGGCTTTGGTAAACATCATTAATGGAGCTTGGGAAGTCCCTTGGAGTGTAACTATGGAGGTCAATTCCATTAAGAGGCTTATGGAGACTATACCAGTAAGAGTACAACACTTCTTAAGGGTGGGAAATACTCTTGTAGACTATTTTGCTAACTTGGTTTTGATTTTGCAGGTCCAGTGGAATAGATGAATTTTCGAGATGTTCCAAGTAAAGGCAAAAAGATTATCAATCTTGATAAGCTAAGTTTACCAAACATGAGAATCAGGCACTCTGTTGCTACAAGGCTCACAACTTAGACAATCATAGCTTCTGGTACATCTTTATGTTATGAATACTAATACTGATTTTAAAAGATATAACCTATTAATGTACTTTGTGAAGTCTGAATTAATTTTTGTTGGTTACTATATCATGCACCTGGTGAGAGCTTTGAGGTGTTACTAATGATATAAAACCAAGACTCACATGTCAATAGTAGGAGGAATTTTTTAAAATCTCTGTTAGTATTTATTCTCTTATGTCACATAATCCAATAATTTTCGCAAGTTTTGAGACTCTTCTCTTAAGATGGTGGTATTAACCTATGTGGGTTCAATCCATTAAAGAAAAGAGTATCAAGACTAAGGTGTTAATATAGATTTGAAGAGCTCTAGTCATACCTCTGTTACTCTGGAAGATTCAGCTTTGTAGAACTTTGACAAGCATGAGCAGATGAAGCCTAATAGCCCTGAAGTAATTCGATTCCAACCTCAAAACGTTTCAAATTAGAGATCTTTTTGAAGATTAAAATGTCAATGGTGGTATCAATCTCATTTGGGATTCATCCCATTGAAATTTAGATCTAAGAAAAGGTATCTAATTTATCGTAACCACGATACCCGAATTTTTGGAAGCTCAAGATGCAACTGTAGTAACGAGGTTGAATGGATTTGATGAACAGACCCGTTTCTTTTGACTTCTCAAGTTGCAAGGCATTGATTAAGAAGACCTCTTTGGAGCTGCTAGAAATATTTTCACAGAACCTCTTCCTCATGTCTCTTTAAGATTGCGAGCTTGAGAGCTCTTCTCCGACAATGGAGTTCTCTTTAGAAACTTCATGTGTCTGTGACTTCTGTATTTTTCTTGTTTCTTACTTTCCTTTTCCTTTTTGGGCTTTGGCTAGTTGGGCCACTGATTGTACATATTCCTTTGTTTTAATAAAATGGCCCTGGGTTCTTTGAATTAAAAAAAAAAAAAAGGTTGTTGTATTCTGGAGGGGACAAGTCAAGAGTTATATTGATAGAACTGTTTAGATTATACCGCAGTAGACTTGAATCTCTATAAAAAAAAAGTGAGATGTCTCCTTAAAGAAAGCGAGATCATCTCAACATTACCCTCCTAAAGTGTTACTAAATCTCTTCAAGAGATGGAAGTGTAAAGTATTTTACAGAAGTTGACTGACTTTCACTAATTACATATTAGCTAAAAGACACTCCACTGAAGTTGACTGACTTTCACTAATTCGGGAAAAAATTGAACAACCTGTCCCATTTCTTCGATACGAATACAGTAACAATCATATCGACTATTTAATTTTTCTTGAGTGGAAAAAAATGTGCAAAGAGTTTAATATTCAATAGAATGATCAAATTTCTTCCAAGTTATAGCAGCCATAAGTGACCAAAAAGAAAGGACTTCCAAATTGACATCTTATAATAGAATTCCTAGTTGGTTTACTTTGACACTAATTTCTTCCTCTGTCTTCATTTTCTTGGACTCATTATCTTGGACTCATTTTCTTGGACTCATTATCTTGACAATTATTTATTCACTGCTTGATTCATCAATTACAAATTACAAAAAACATGACTACTAAAAACACTCTGAAAATTCCCATGAATTCATAATTCTCTAACAAAAAGTCTTAACCAATCCAATAAATTTGACATCATTAAATAGGCCATTCCTTTGCCATATCCATTCATATTTTAGGAAAAAAACAAACAAAATTATGGACAGAAATTGCATTCTTCTCTTTGTTCTTGTAGTTTTCATTCTACTCCATCACCATACTTCACTTGCTACTGTTCCTAACCTTAACACCGATGAAGCTTCTCTTCTTGCTCTTAAACCACACATTTCTTCTCATCCTAACAACATCTTAGAAAGCAACTGGTCTTCTTCAACCCCGGTTTGCAGCTGGATCGGAATCACTTGCAGCTCCCTCCACAATCGAGTCACTGCTTTAGACATTTCTAGCATGCAACTTCATGGTACCATTCCTCCACACCTTGGAAACCTCTCATTTCTTGTTTCCCTCAACATAAGTTACAACGCTCTCCATGGATATTTGCCAGTAGAGTTGGCTCATTTGCAGAGGCTGAAATTGATTGATGTCACAAGCAATAACTTCACTGGAGCCATTCCATCATTTTTAAGTTTGTTACTAAACCTACGCTTTGTGTACCTATCGAGCAATCAATTTTCAGGGAAAATTCCATCCTCCCTTTCCAATCTAACAAAACTGGAAGTCTTGAGATTGAAGATGAATTTTCTCGAAGGAGAGATTCCTCGAGAAATCGGTGATCTTCATTATATGACTGACTTAGTCCTGGAACGTAATCATCTTAGTGGCTCTATACCACCATCAATCTTTAACATTACGACAATGCAATTCATTGCTCTTACCGGTAACAATCTTAGTGGTAATCTTCCCACAACTATATGCGACCATCTTCCAAACTTGAAAGGGCTTTACCTCTCAATAAACTACCTGAGTGGCGTTATTCCACCAAACATACAAAAATGCAGAAAGCTTCAAGTCTTGGCATTGACTTACAATGAGTTCAGTGGAAATGTACCAAGAGAGCTAGCCAACTTAACAGATCTTATAGAATTACATTTTGCATTCCTGCATTTAGAAGGTAGTATTCTAATTCCTTACGGGAGATGAAATTTTCTTCCATTTCAACAAACTTGTACTCATATATTTCTCGATATTGACAGGAGAGATACCAGTGGAGCTCGGTAATCTTCAAAAACTACAGCATCTGACATTAGCGCAGAACGAGTTAACTGGTTCTGTTCCTGCAAGCATTTTCAACATGTCAGCACTGAAGGGTCTAGCACTTGCAATAAATAAGCTTTCAGGTACTCTACCTTCAGATTTAGGTCGCGGAATGCCCAATATAGAAGAACTTTATTGTGGAGAAAATTATCTTAGTGGTTTTGTCTCTGCTTCAATCTCAAATTCTTCGAAACTCAGAAATCTTGATCTCTCACACAACAATTTTTTCACGGCTCCAATTCCTGAATCACTCGGTAACTTAGAATACCTTGAGGATCTAAACTTGGAAAATAACAATTTTTTCAGTGATTCAAAATTTAGCTTCCTTAAATCATTGACAAACTGTAGGAATCTAAGACTACTTTGGTTAGGTAATAATCCATTGGATGGTGTTTTGCCTGCATCTATTGGTAATTTCTCCAACTCCTTGCAAAGTTTTGAAGCACAAGGCTGTAAACTGAGTGGTGTCATTCCGAAAGAAATTAGTAATCTTACTGGAGTGACAACGATTAGTCTATTTAACAATGAGTTGACTGGATATATTCCAGAAACTTTCCAAAGCATGTTGAAACTTCAAGAACTGTACCTAAAAAACAACATGATAGAAGGAATCATACCAGATGTTATCTGCCATCTAACGAATCTTGGTGCATTAGACTTGTCAGGAAATCAATTTTCTGGTTCAGTGCCCTCATGCTTAGGAAACGTTACCAGTTTGAGGAAACTTAATCTAGCTTACAACAGGCTGAATTCTAGATTAACGGCAAATTTGGGGAGCCTTCAAGACCTCATAGAATTCAATGTTTCATCCAATTCATTAAGTGGTCCGATTCCTCTGGAGTTGGGAAATTTAAAGGCAGTGACACTCATTGATTTGTCAAAAAATGAATTTTCTGGTAAAATTCCTAGCACTTTAGGCGGTCTAGCTGAATTGATAAATCTTTCTCTAGCACATAATAGGTTAGATGGGCCTCTTCCAGATTCATTTGGCAAAATGTTGTCACTGGAATACTTGGATTTGTCCTATAACAGTCTTAGTGGTGAAATTCCAAAGTCATTAGAAGCTCTTCTGTATCTCAACTACATGAATTTCTCGTTCAATAAGCTCAGTGGAGAAATTCCCATTGGTGGTCCTTTTGCAAATGTCACTAGTCAATCTTTCTTGTCCAATGATGCACTCTGTGGTGACTATCGGTTTAACGTAAAACCATGTCAAACCAAATCTACAAAGAAGTCAAGAAGAAAAAGAGTGCTTATAGGTTTATACACATTGTTAGGGATGGGATCACTCCTTGTGTTGGTAGTTGGATATGTGGTGTTAAGATTGAGAAAGACAAAGAAGAATGCAAGTCAAGCAGATGTGTCTCTGGTGAAAGAACATGAAAGAATTTCCTATTATGAACTTGAACAAGCAACAGAAGGATTCGACGAAAGCAACTTGCTTGGTACAGGGAGTTTTAGCGTGGTCTACAAAGGGATACTTAAGGATGGTACTCTTTTGGCAGCAAAGGTATTCAATGTGCAATTGGAGGGTGCATTCAAAAGTTTCGACACGGAATGTGAGATACTCCGGAACCTTCGCCACAGAAATCTGACCAAAGTCATTACAAGCTGTGCCAACCTTGATTTCAAGGCCCCGGTGTTGGAATACATGCCCAATGGGACACTTGATAAATGGTTATACTCTCACAACTTGTTCTTGAACTTATTACAGAGACTGGATATAATGATAGATATTGCATCTGCAATGAACTATCTCCACAATGGCTACTCAACGCCTGTGGTGCATTGTGACTTGAAGCCAAGTAATGTCTTGCTAGATCAGGAAATGGTTGGTCATGTCAGTGATTTTGGCATTGCGAAATTGCTAGGTGAAGGGGAGGCTTTTGTTCAAACAAGGACAATTGCAACCATTGGATATATTGCTCCAGGTATATTAGAAGTTTCAAAATCTTTCTGATATCGTTTAACTACTCCAAACAATTCTTGCCCCTACATATAGATTAATATTCTCTGTTTTATTATGGTCATTTTTTACCATGATTGTAGAGTATGGACAAGATGGAATAGTATCCATGAGCTGTGATGTTTATAGTTTTGGCATCCTGATGATGGAGACGTTCACAAGAAAGAGGCCAAGTGATGAAATGTTTACCGAAGAATTGAGCATACAACGTAGGGTTAGTAATTCCTTCCCAAGTGGAATTCATAAGGTGGTGGATTACCATTTGGTACAGCCAGGGGATGACCATATTGATGCAAAGATGCAATGTTTGTTATCTATCATGGAATTAGCTTTGAGCTGTACTTTAGTGACACCTGATGCAAGAATTGGCATGAAAGATGCTCTTTCAAAACTGAAAAAGATTAGGCTACAGATTGTCAATAGTCTGCACTAGGTGGAATCAGACCGTCTACTCTTTTGTGTTATTTGATTACTTAAGTGTGTTTAATCAAGGTTGTAGGAAGCAACTAGTTTCTTGATGTATGGAAGTCGAAAATGAGAAATAAATGATTGTTGTGTTGCCAATGACTACAGATATTTCTACCAAACTTTGAAAGTGTTTCTTTAATTCTTTATTCTCCAAAATCATGTTAATCAAGTTTTATTACAGTTTTCCACTGAAAATTTTGTTTATTTTATTTTACTAGAAAGAGGTACTGGACAAAAGAGAGATTTATAAATTTCTAGTCTTTGATTCTTAATCGGAGGTTTATTTTTGTTAGAAAATTAAGATTTGTCTAGAAACTTCTAGATTGGAGATATTTTGTATTAGATATGTTAGAAAAGTAAGAATTGTCTAGAAACTCCTAGGTTGGAGATATTTTTGTACTAGATATGTTAGAAAAGTAAGAATTATCTAGAAACTCCTAGGTTGGAGATATTTTGTAGTAGATATGTTGGTCTTGATTTAAAATGTGTGGTGGTTAGTGAGCCACATAGGTACATAGTTTGGTGTGAGATATTTTGCTTATTATGTGGTTGTAATTCTCACACTTTATCTATAAATACACCATATGTAATGAAACATCTAGTGAAAAAATTGAACTCAAGAAAACTTAAGCCTTCTGCTTCAATTTCAGATTTTCTGTTGCAATTTACAGCTCCTATTTCCTATTGTTTACACCTTGTAGACCTGAAGTTCTTCTTCATTTTCATTGTAACATGGTATCAGAGCCTATTTCCTAAGGGATCTGAATCAAATTTTGTTTGTTTCGCTCATCTACTTTCTGTTCTTTCTTGAATTTGCTCGCTGAAAAAAATTTCATGGCACCTGAAAATCAACCAACGACAGGTCCTCCGACTTTTACCGGAGAGAATTATCACATATGGGCTATCAAAATGAAGGCTTATCTAAAGGCTCTCAACTTATGGGAAGTTGTTGAGCTTGGAGAACCTGCTGTCCAGCCATTGAGAGTTAATGCAACTCTCAATGAAATTAAGAAGTATGATGAGTTGGTGACTAGATCCCCACGAGCTCTCACCTGCATACATTCAAGTCTTACGGACGTGATGTTTACGAGGATTATGACTTGTGAAACAGCCAAAGAGGCTTGGGATAAGTTAAAGGAGGAGTTTGAAGGCAGCAGTAGAGTAAAGTCTGTTAGACTCTTAGCATTGAAGAGAGAGTTTGAGCTTTTGAAGATGAAAGACTCAGATAGTGTGAAAGAATACTCTTCAAAGCTGATGGAGATTGTGAACCAGATAAGAATACTTGGTGAAACCTTTCCAGATCAGAAAGTTGTAGAGAAGATCTTGGTCAGCCTTCCAGACAAGTTTGAATCAAAAATCTCAGCTATTGAAGAGTCTTGTGACTTGACTACTCTTACAATAGCCGAACTAATCTCCAAATTGCAAGTCCAAGAGCAACGGGTCAGTATGAGAAGTGAAGGGATAGTGGAAGATGCCTTTCAAGCAAGGCATAAATTCAAACATCAAAAGGAAAGCAGAAAAGTCTGGTTGGATAAATCTGGAGAGGTAAAATCTGGTGGAAACCAAGGTGATTTGTCGATAAATGGAAAATTTCCACCTTGTGGCATTTGTAAGAAGACAAACCACTTAGAGAAGAATTGTTGGCAGAATTCAAAGAGGTCTCCAATTCAATGTAGATATTGTAAGAAGTATGGTCACATTGAGAAGTATTGTAGGCAAAAGCAAAATCAAAGTGGCCAGTCTTCCCATCGAGTGAATTTCGCAGATGATCACCAAGTTGGAAAATCAGAGGAGGAGGTTTTCATGGCCTCGCACACATCACATATTGACCAATGTAAATGGTATATTGATAGCGCGTGCACAAGGCACATGGCAATTGATGAAAATCTGTTTGTTTCCTTGGACAGATCTGATAGAACCAAAGTGAAGCTTGGAAATGGCGCATTGGTGGAAGCTCACGGTAGAGGGTCAGTAAAATTTCCTATTGACGAAGGTACGAAAATTATTAATGATGTTCTTTATGTGCCAAATTTGACACAAAACTTGTTAAGTGTTGCTCAATTACTTCATAAAAATTATTCTCTTAATTTTAAGGATAAACAATGTGTCATTCATGATCCTAAAGGATGTGAAGTAGCTAAAATTAGCATGATTGACAATTCCTTTCCAATTTCATGCTATTCTATTGATACTTGCTCTTTTAATATTGAATTGAGTGATACTTGGCTTTGGCACAAAAGGTTCGGGCATTATAATCTTAGCTCACTGGTGTATATGCAATCAAAGGGTATGGTGCTTGAAGTACCCAAAATTGACATGTGTAGAGATGTTTGTGAGTCATGTCAATTTGGTAAAATGCGTAGACGATCCTTTCCTAAAGGAAGTCTTTGGAGAGCTAAGGAAAAGCTAGAGTTGGTTCATACAGATTTATGTGGACCAATGAGGACGGCTTCTTTGAGTGGAAACAAGTATTTTGTTCTCTTTGTAGATGATCTGACTCGAATGACATGGGTCTACTTTCTTAGTAGCAAATATCAAGTGTTTTCTGTTTTCAAAGAATTCAAAGCTATGGTAGAAAGGGAGAGTGGCTGTAAATTGAAGTATATTAGATCCGATAATGGAACTGAATATACTTCGTATCAGTTCAGCAAGTATTGTAAAGATTTGGGTATCCAACAACAATTCACTGTTAGCTACACTCCACAGCAGAACGGGGTTACTGAGAGGAAGAACAGAACTGTAATGGAGATGGCGAGATGCATGTTGGCAGAAAAGAAGATGCCTAAATACTTTTGGGCTGAAGCAGTCAATACCGCTGTCTATTTGCTAAATAGATTACCAACTAGAGCAGTCCAAGACATGACACCATTTGAAGCATGGAAGGGTATCAAGCCGTCTGCAAGACACTTGAAGGTATTTGGTTCGGTATGCTATGCACATGTTCCTGATGCTAAAAGAGGCAAATTAGATAGCAAGGCAGAACTGTGTGTTCTGTTGGGCTATAGTACAGTTGCAAAAGGATACAAAGTGTACAATGTTAGTAGTAAGAAGGTGTTTGTTAGTAGAGATCTTATAGTGGATGAGTCTAGCCACTATGATTGGGATCGAGATATTGTTGTGAAGAACCAAGGTGGGAATACTTCAGCTGCAACTCCACATCAGCAAAAAGGTGATACTCCCTCTAGTCCTATTTCTGGAACAAAAAACAATTCAGATGTTGAATTGACTACAGACTCTCCTGTTTTGAAGACCAAATCACTAGCAGAAGTTTATGAGCAATGCAATTTTGCTCTTGTTGAACCATCCTCATTTGAAGAAGCAGCAAACCACAAAGTGTGGATTTCAGCAATGAAGGAGGAACTTGCCATGATTAATAAAAATGATACTTGGGAGTTGGTTGATAGGCCAGAAAAGAAGAATGTTATCGGTGTCAAATGGGTCTATCGAACAAAGTTCAATCCAGATGGCTCCATCTTCAAGCATAAAGCTAGACTTGTAGTTAAAGGCTATTCTCAGCAGCCTGGAGTGGACTTTGGAGAAACGTTTGCTCCTGTTGCACGGCATGAGACAGTAAGATTTCTAGTCGCTCTCGCAGCACAATACAAGTGGAAAATCTTCCATTTGGATGTAAAATCTGCATTTCTCAACGGAGTGCTTGAGGAAGACATTTATGTTGAACAACCTGAAGGTTTTACAGTTGCAGGTGAAGAAGACAAGGTGTACAAGCTTAAAAGGGCTCTCTATGGTCTTAAACAAGCCCCAAGAGCTTGGTATAGTAGGCTGGATTCTCATTTGCTGTCACAAGGCTTCAACAGAAGCCTAAATGAGCCTACTTTGTACTTCAAAAGACAAGCGGATGGGATGTTGATTATGATATCAGTTTATGTCGATGATTTGATGATTACAGGTGAAAATCCTCTTGCAGTTCAAGAAGTTAAAAATGAAATGCTAAAAGTTTTTGAGATGTCCGATCTAGGAGAAATGAAGTTTTTCCTGGGAATGGAGATATCTCAATCTTGTGAAGGAATTTTCTTGTCCCAAAAGAGGTATGCCTTGAATCTGTTAAAAAGGTTCAAGCTTGACAAGTGCAAAGCTGTTGCAACTCCACTTGTTGTGAATGAAAAATTAATGAAGGATGATGGCGAAGAGAGGGCAGATCCAAAAGTTTATAGAAGTCTAATTGGAAGTCTATTGTATCTAACAGCTTCTAGGCCAGACATAATGTTCGCTGTCAGTTTGTTATCTCGATATATGCAAAGTCCCAGCACTAAGCATTTTGGAGCCGCTAAAAGGGTGTTAAGGTACATTAGAGGGACGATTAATTATGGAATCTGGTATAGAAATGTGGAGAATGGATCTCTTATTGGCTATTCAGATAGTGATTGGGGTGGATGTTTGGATGATTACAAAAGCACTTCTGGTTACTGTTTTTCGTTTGGTTCAGGCATTTTTTCTTGGAGCACAAAGAAGCAAGATATTGTAGCACAATCTTCAGCAGAAGCCGAGTATGTGGCTGCTGCATCTGCTACAAATCAAGCAATTTGGTTAAGAAAGATCTTGTTGGAATTGAATTTGTTGCCAAAAGAACCAACAGTGATCTATGTGGACAATAAATCAGCCATTGCGATGGCTGAAAATCCGGGGCAGCATGGAAGAACAAAGCATATCAACATAAGGTTTCATGCTTTAAGAGATGCGGAGAAGAATGGTGAAGTTAAGTTGGTACATTGCATCAGTGACGATCAACAGGCTGATATTCTGACCAAGGCTCTTTCCACTAAGAAGTTTGAGTTTCAAAGGTTGTTGCAAGGAGTTTCAATGAAAAATCTTAAGGAGGAGTGTTAGAAAATTAAGATTTGTCTAGAAACTTCTAGATTGGAGATATTTTGTATTAGATATGTTAGAAAAGTAAGAATTGTCTAGAAACTCCTAGGTTGGAGATATTTTTGTACTAGATATGTTAGA